TACTAGTAATATATGTATTGTACACATATTTAGACATGGTTTATTGCTGTAAAAAAAAAAAAAAAATGTATTTAAGATTTATTGATTTATTTTTAGACTAAATAAAATGTTAACGAAAAGCTATCAAACATTTTTAAATAAATATTGATCTATGGCATACAATTTAAGAAAAGACAAGTTATAGACATAAGCTATGTTATTCAACCTTATTTTTAACATTCAAAAAAAAGAATATTAAAAAAATTTAAATTTTATTTCCCATTATTTTTTATATAATCAAATTTTTTCGTTAAATTATGTATCAGAACATACATTACCGCGTCGAGGTTGCTTAATATTTTTAGCGTTTCAATCCACCTAATTTTTAATGATCGAAGAAGACAAGAAGCCAATATCTGATTTCACTTGAGACGATTAACTCAACGCATATAATATCGTAAAAAATTACGTGTTTAATAAAATACTCGAATTTCGAACGATATAATAAATAAAATAGTCACGCTCTTCTGTAACATCAGGTGGTAGATATAAATATTATTTTAAGGTAATATAATATGTATGACATGAATTGTGTATATACATTAGATATTTGCATCGATCATGACTCGAAAACAAATTAGTAATAAAATATTGGAGTCGAGTGCTGATAAAAAATGTTAATAAAGTTGCATCCGTAAATGAGACAAGGGTTCGTTATAGTGATCACGTGATACTTAATGGTATTGGACCGGGTGTAAATTAGGATAATTTTCTAGTCAACAGATGAAATAAACGATATTAGTTTATTCAATGGACTTAAGCGAGCTTTATACAGTCATGTTGTAGTATGTTTATTAAGCATGTACGCACTTAAGTTTAATGATTTTTGATCTCATTCAATACTTGCAGACCTTTTTTAAATCGATGTTATTATATAAATGCCAATACAAATAATAATGTCAGTGGCGTACTGACGTATTTAAGGAGACATGGGGGTAATTAATGCGATTTATCATACTGTGAGACCCATAAACAGGTTACTTTAGGTTTCAAGTACATAACACTAGTGATGAATTTATAGGTGTTTGTTCTATACGTTACGTTAAATTATAATATTATAATTTAACAAGTATTAATAAAATATTCGTGAAAGTAAAATAGAATATATGAAGGGAGTGTTAAAAATAAAATATTAAGGGGTTTAAGTTATAGAAACAGTTTCATAACAAAAATCATTTTGGGGCATTCAGATTTTACAAGTTATTCGAGGTTATTTATGGATTTATAGTACTCTGAAAGACTACATCACCTAGTACCATATAATTATTATATCTAATGTGTTTAATGTTAATGGAAAAGGGGCGTTACTCTTTTGTACACCTAAGGCATCATATTCCTAAATATTTCTCTGAATATACATAAAGTATTAAATCGTAATTGAACTAATCTCCGTTTGAATAATTTATGTTTACGATATAAACTATTAGAATACGTACACGAGTCGCACGCTTCATTTCTTTTGATATTAAACATAGACAATTTCTCCGAACAAAAATTGTATAACCAATATACCATACTAATTATTATTATTATTTTCATTTTTATGTTTACTGTGTCAGTGTGGTGCAGATTCTACGCTACAATGAATATAAACGGTGGAGAGGGAGTAGTTATGGTTTCAACATGGTGTAGTGTACAAGACACCCGAGTGTGTCGTCTGCCACTCCATTTCACATATTTAGGTGATAAATGTGTAGGTGTTATAAATCATTTCTATTTTAAACGAGTGTTCGTTCATTTTCCCATAAAGAATATCCAATGAGAAAGATAATGACGATAATATTTTACTATATATTTGTCGTTAATATAACACAGAGTCGAAGTATATCATTTATTAAAAACAAAATATTACCCAATATTGGCTTTTTAGAAGAAAATAATAATATTATTTGCACCTATTAACGAGCAAATAACGTATATTATTGTGTTTATTTAACTTAGATTGTTGACAATTATAACGAATAACATGGAGATCATCTTAAGAGTATTGTTTTATTTCTTAAACGTGTAACCATAATAATTAAGTAAAACACTAAATTAATAATCTTAGGAATTTAAATCATACAAATATAGAACTAAATTACATAAATTACTTATACAAAACGAAACAGTAACAGTAGAAGACGTTAAATTTTATCAAAAAAATGGAGACAAAATACTACATAATATTATTAAATAATTTTAATTATACTTGGACATGAGCATTTTTCCTGGTAAATAAAGTAATTATTATAATTAATTATGTTCAATTTTTCACTTGACATTTCTATTTTTCAGAACCTTCTATAATAATTTACATATTTCAATAAAATTAATATACCATATATATAACAATTTTATTAATATTCTTACCATCAAAAGATTAAGATCAAAAGCAAAAATCACCATGTTTCTGTTAATTTATTATTTTGACCCTTGACCTTATTTTGTCGCTTATACTCAACAAACTGGCTTTTTCACATCAACTTTATGATGAAAAATTTAGTATAATTTTAAGCAACTATCTTAAAGTACAATAATCGTTTTATTGAATATTTTTGTGTATTCTCAATGGCATAATTTATCGTGAATTAAGCAATTTCAACAGTAACTTATCGTTATAGCTCAAGTTTTCCAAACTAATCAAATATTGTCTGTGGTTTTTATGTATGTAATCAAGCACTGAGGTGGCGTAATAACAATTTTAATGAAAAAACGAATAAATGATACCTAATTTTTTTGGTTTTTTATCGGTCAACTATTGTTTATAAACTTTTTCATATGAATGATATTTTTTTGTACTATTATCAATAAAAGATTTTAATTTATATTTTTAATCAAATTTATTAATTAAATCTCACCATAAAATCATTTTGAATAAATCTTATAAAATGCTGGGATTTGTTAGTAAAAATACTGACGATTTTAAAATAACGTCAAGTCTAAAAACAACGTATTATTTTCTTGTGCGAACAATCCTAGATAGGGTGTTCATAATTTGGTCTCAAAAACATATATGCATATATATAATATTTTGAGTTATTCCAATACATTTTTTTTTTTTTTATTTTTTTTTATTGCACATGTCTCAAATACACTCATTCATCCAAATAAATTCATACGAAAACATGTATGTATCAATTGGTTTGGCATATCCTATAAAACCACAAAAATTATATAGGTAAATAGAAACATTAAAATAGTTTTAATCAATAGCAAAACTGTATAAGATAACACAAAAGATAACCAATGGGATCTTTCTTATGTTAATTTATGTTAGTGAGATAAGTAAACCAAACCCCTTTAGGTTGAAAAACTACACTTAATAAAAAATTAAGATATAGACAATATTAATAATTATTCTCAATGTAACCGCAATTTTTTATATCAATATGGTCGAATTAAGAATATAGATGTTTTCTATTATTGCAAGTAATAATTTATCATATTAAAAAAATGTATTTATCTGTGTATTATCATGTTTTAGTTATTCATATTTTTCTAAATATTCTAAATTTAATTTGAGTTTCTAATTCTTTATAAAGTTATTCTTAGTATTTTTATGTCATGTTTTGTTTGTTATTATAATTATTGTAAATATATTTGAACCATATTATAATCAAAAAGATTCATTACCCGTAAAATGTATAAATAAATATTATAATAATAACCATCTAATATCAGTAACAGGCGCCTAAATTCCAAGCTTGTTAGTTACTTCTTATTAAAATGCAATATTTGACGATAAACTTAATTATAGAAAATAATCTTATAGGTATCTTTAAACAGCTTCAGGAAGTTTTTGACACTTTGTAGTATCTAAACACCATCGATGTAATACGTATATGCAATAAGTGGTTAATTCGTCAAAACTATTTTACTCAAATCACGTATGTAGGTTCCACAATATTTTCAATGAGAAATTGAAACTTCCGCTACAGTATCATATTAATGATATTACAGCTATTCAGCTTGAATACCATGATATAAACAACATAATATATAGGATGATTATTTTATCGCAATATGGGCAATATCTTAATAAATATAAGAAAATTTAAATTATAATCTTCATAAATATATTGGAGCATTTGTACTGTTAAATTTACAAATACAAATTTTTCTTAAATATAAAATAATATAATATAGGTAGTAATATGATTTTTGAAATATTTCATGCACTATATTATGGAGTTATTATAGTATTTCAGCAATATCGATATAACATAATCTCGTCGGTTCCTTTATGTCATAAGTATCATTATTAAACACATAAAACATAATATTATAATTTACTCTTTTTATTATAATTATCTAAATTATCAAATATTTATGATGATTATAATCAACTTAAATAATATATAAAGTTTTAATTAAAATCAATTTGACTCATTTGATGTTAATAATGTAACAGTTTTTGAACAATGTTATAAAATTACAATTTTGATTTAAAAAAAAAAAAAAAAATGAATTAATTTTTTTATGAATAAACGAGAAATCTAAAAAAATCTTGAATTTATTTGAATTAAAATATCAAAAAATGAGAAAAATGGTTAAATTATTCTCTGTGTGTATCTCATAAGGTTTATTCACCGGTTGTTTTTGTTAAATAACAAAAAAAACTCAATAATTCTAGTTATTTTAATTTTTAGAAAAAAGTTTATATGTCAAATATCATCGTTTTATTTTGTTTTTTTCTACACTCCATAAAAAACATAGTCTCCTCATGTGTAATATGTTCACAGTAAACTCATTTTTTTTTTTTTTTTTTTGTGGCAGTTCACCAGGTTTTTTTGTTTTTTTTTGTTTTTGTAAATACTCTTACCAATCGCCCGGTGTAGTACATTAATTTATATTCTTTTTCCACGATCGAACTATTTCCCGCATTTATTTCTGTAGTTAGTTAAACCACTCACAGATCTTACAAGCAAAGATGTTTACAATAATAACGGTTTTTTACTGATTCCTATCATATGTTTCAGGTCTTACGGGTGATAATTTTCACTTCGATGACAACGGGGACGGACCTGCCCGTTATAATATCATCCACTTCAAACAGATAGAGCCGGGTATTTTTAAATGGATCAAAGTCGGTGTGTACTCGGACGGTAAACTCAATCTCAACATGTCCGGTGAGTGTTTTGTACTATAATAGACGTAAACTTTATAATCGTAAAAGCACTATAAATATGGAATTTGTTGTCTTAGCCAACTCTGTTATGCAACCATTTCAATATAATAACGACAATAATAATGGTTAATGGTCCACAGTACACATATTCTATATTATTATTTACACCAGTTGTAGGTCATGAAGGCATTTATTATTATTTTATTATTGTTATTATTATTACTAAACATAGATCTTATGCAAAATAATATTTCAAGTATTCTTATGTGCACGTGACATGTGGTTTATACGATATACACGTGGCATAAAAGCACATTGCCGGAATACATTTTACTACAGAAGAATAATAAATGCAAAATATTTATTATAATATTAAATTTCAAAAATTCATTCTCTATTAATTTTTATTCGTTGTATACTTGTGTATTATTTTTTATGTATTTAATAAATAATAACATACATTTTGAACAAATAAATAAATATATAATTGTTATTATACACGTTTAGTTTTAAATAAGTATGAATACTATTTATAAATCTAAATTTTTCAAACTAGTTAAAGGTAAAATTTATAATATAATATGCCAATAATACAAAAATTTATCAACTAAATATATTATCTTATGTAAAATAAATTAATTACAGTCAACTTTTGATGATTCGAAGTTGACAGGACTGTTGAAAAACTTCGAATTACCGAGAGTTCGAATTGTTGAATAGTTTAAAATAACGAGAGAGCAAAAAAAAAATCAAATTATAGGGAGTTGAGAAAAAAATTTTGTTTTTTATTGTTCTACAGATTAATTATTTCAGTAAATTAAGTGGTACATATTAGAGTATTAAAGTTATCGACGACTCGACGAGTTAAATTACTATTAGAGACGATTAAGAAATAAAACGTTAAGGTTCTTACGATAATACTGTATAGTTATCGAAAATATTAAGCTAAATTTCTACACAATTTTATAGTACATAAATTATTAACAAAAAGATTATAAAAATACAGATAACATACATTTGGTGAATATACTTCGAATTTCTGAGTGTTGAACAAATGATACTTGGAATTGTCAAGTGTTAGTGGCCAGTTTTCCCAAAATTTAATTTCGAATTACTGAGTGTACTTAAATGCATTGTTTTTCTTAGAATTATCGCGTGATTTTCAAGGGACCAAGTATTTCGAATTACCGAAGGTTTTGAATTATTAAAGGTTTGAATTATCAAGAGTTGACTGTAAGAGAAAAAAAACTATATTCATTTTATTTATTCGGTTATAATACATAATAACTTACAAGGTGATTCACTAAGCATCCTCAAATCATTGATTGTAAATTTATTGAAATTTTAATTTTAAGAATTTTTAAATGTACTTATATATCACACTTTAAATTATTTAAATTTTGTATGCCATTACAGACTATTCTGTGCTAATGCAAAGTTATTTTTATCAAATGAAAACCAACTTTTCAACAATTGAAATTTCACCATAAATTATTAAACAGATGTTTATTTTTTTGATTATATTGATTTATCTATACCAATATGCCAATAAGTAGCTTCTTTGTTATAAACATATATTTACTAAGAATAATGATTCTTAAAACCGCTTTACAAATATTTATAATACTTGCAATGTAGGATCTAGTATTTGACACTGTGCATGATGAACAACGTGAAAATTAATTCTGAATTTAATGACTTGAAAATGAAACATAAAAAAATAATATAAGTAAAAAATTAGGGATAATATTTATGACGAAAGAATTAAGATGACAAAGATTTAGAGTTTAAAACGATATTTCTAGGTCAATTGTCTATTCTAATGATTAGTGATTTGCTATTATATGCGTATAGAAAGGATTGAATGACATGGAACATTGTTACAAACAGAAAACTGGAGATGCTTTTAGTACTTATTACTCATTTAAACATCATGTGGCCACGTAATCTCCTGAAGCTTGATCCAAAATGGTTAAGCGTCGCCTATGTAATTCTGCTTATATAAAATCCTGGTTGTTTTATTCGATAATTTTTACATACAATTTTGATAGATTAATACTAATTACTAAATTTTCCAAATAACTATAGCCCTTTATATATTATAAACCCATTATTATGAACCTAAGTACACAAAGTTAAATAAATCGAATATACACGATTAAATTTTGATTTAGACACAACAAATTTTTTTGAAAAAAATCATCTGGTTAAAATTTTTCAAAAAAAAATGTGATTTAAATTTAAAAATAAGAAGTTACAAAAAAATGTATGTAATTTAAAGTCGTTCCCTTATTTATGTTTAAAAATTAAAATATTAGAAATGAAATAAATAAATAATTAATAAAACAAACGAAAATAAACATAATAGGTGAATAACTTTGTATTTTTACTGTGAGTCTCGGGGTATTATAAATTATTTTACCCATCATGTGAATATTCTATTTGTTTATCATCAATAAAAAATATTTAGTTATACCAAAAATGTATCAATAATAAATTTTTTACAGTTAAATATTTTAAAAATTGTAAATTTTTCGAAAAAACAAAGTCAAATTAAAATTAAAATTTGATTATCAAATATAAATTGTTGTTTACAAGATAATTAAATAAAAGTGTAAAGTTTTGACAAAGCTTTATATTTTTAGGTATATAGATTATATTTGTTTTATTATATTACATATATGTATACATATATATATATATATTCAATCAATATCAAAAGTTTATGTTTTTTAATAAAGATAAAATTTATAAAAATGTTAAAACTAAAAACGTGGCTGATCAAAGTTCTAAATAAAAAATAAGTAAAAATAACCCGACTCATTTTATATTAGTTTATGGTTTTAATTGTTATAAGCAATATAATAAGGGTGGGTTCGTTAAATTCGGTATATAAAATAAGATAAAAAAAAAAAAAAATGAAAAAGTTTTATTTTTCATTAAATTTAGTTATAGACTTATTAAGTAGCGTCGAATTATTTATAAGTTATAATTTTAAGCTCACTGTATAATTTTAAGAAATTGAATTGAATGTATTGAAAATTATTTAGACAAAATAAATATAAATCTTTAGTTCTTACAAATACCTACTTAAAAATGTGTCGATTAACACAATATTTTATGCTATAAAAATGCAAAATGTAATATAATTTTAATGGAACAAGCGAATTACTAAACAGTTTTATATACAACTTATGATATTTATACTGCTTGCATTGTACATTTTTAATTTTTTTTTAATATTCTTTAATGTAAATCATTTTTTTAGAATATCTTAACATACATAAAATATGTTTAAACCACGCATTAATAAGTCACTCTCAAACGTGTATTGGAATCCAAACGTAAAATTTAAACATTAATAGCTTAAATAGCTATTATACTTTTTTTCGATAGCCCCATTTCAGTATCCCCTATTCTGTTAAATGTGTTTTAAATGTGCATATACGTAACGAGCAATGACTTCAACTTATGGTTTGATGGGATTGACTTATTTTTTATCGAAGTTCACGTATAGAAATAACAAATTTACGTCTGATCTATATGATTATATAATTAAACGTGAAAATGATTATATTACATTAAATCAGTAAAGATATTCTGCTTCTAGCATTATAAATGCAAATAAATATAGTTATGGTTTGCATACATTCATTATAAATATGATATGCAAATGGAAAACCATTCCTCTTGAAATATGGCATTGGCCCCTGTCATTTATAATTTGTTGTCACTGCAGTAGAATAATAATTGTAAAGCGATTAATTCATGTTTAAATTATAATTATTTTTATACTATTTTGTAGTTAACTAGTCTTTAGATCCCACGACTAACAAACTAAAATATATTATATTTTAAGTCACGTAATTTCAAATTATATTGATTTCATTGTTTAATTCAATTTGAGCTATTCGTTGGGGTCGTTATTTTCTGTTTGTTTTTTGCCCATTATATTTGTATTGTTGGTACTAAATGACAGAAAAAAAAATATATTAGGCATTTTTAGTACTCTAAAAAAGGGTTAATCATATGAATATAATTTTAACACAATGCCAGTAAAGGTAAAACGCTTTAAATAAACGTTGTATTTACTATTTAGTAGAAATTGAACGTAATAAAATAGTGCTTTGTGAACACGGCTTTTTTAAAACACTCTTAGTAAAATCTATATAATAATAATTAAACGTGCAGATAGTTATTTTGATGTAATTTATAAATACCTATAAAATATATTAAATACATAATTTGTATTATATTACATATTATATTAATTATTGGAGTTTTTTTTTGTTTTTGTTAACTTTAAGAAAAAAAATCATTCCTGTACATATACAACGAACATGTAATAATAATTTCGTGGGTCCTATGTGGTACACCAATATACTGTCATATACTCATATATGAGTCTTAGATTAAATATTAAAATTTAATTTAATTTAAAATCAATAAAATCGTACTATATTAAAGACAATGGTACCTTTGTGGAAGTTGAATAAAATGCAGAACAGTGTCAATTTTTTATATTTTTTAAAATCAATAAAAGTATTAGTGACCAAATGAAAACGAAACTCTTAGTGATCATAATATTATAAGTATAAAAAATAATTATATGGTTACCAAATTTTAATATTTACAATTATTGAGTACTACGTCACAATATCATTCGTAGCCTGAAGAATAAATATTCAATAATAAATATATGTATACAACTTTACCATCTTTGATCATCCTTCGGATAAAATCACATTTTCAAATACTAAATTGCGTTTTGATTTCTTTGAAACATATTGTTCATCTATCACATTTTGTATATTGTGAGTAATACAAAAGCGATGTATATCACAAAAATAAAATACTTAATTAAAAAATAATAATAGTAATAAATTATACTGAACCTCAAAGGTCAAAATACTATTCTATTTCATTTCTTTATTAAGATAGTGTATTTTTCTAAGATTAAATACGAAGAATATTACTTTGAATACACAGACGTGAGTTTTG